CCTAAAAGGATGGAATCAGAGAACACAGAAGAAACATCCAACTTTTTGTTCCCCTGTAATGAAATTCACTCCAAACTGTTGGTCAAGTAACATTCCTTTGCTTCAAGTCATCTCAGGCTAATAAACCTGCAAGGAGTTCCCAATTCTGAAACATCTTACTGCTACAATGCCACGTTATGTTAATTAAATCTGCCACTTCTATTCTTCTGGTTATATATGTTTCTGGAAAATTGCTTTCCATGTCATCTGTCATGGTACATATTTTGCAATACAATGGACCCCAAAAGACCCCGAATAAGGGAACATACTTCTTTCCTGGCACCTGAAGCCCAATTTTAGCAGATGAAAGACCATATTAGTTCTCTCCTAAACCATGGAAATTAAGTTATTTCTTTTAAGGCCTCCACTGGGAATTTTTCCTCTTATACAAAGAAATGGCTACATTTGAGTAGTACATTAAGAACACTTTCATTTTCCATTCTGTCAATTTCAGCACAGTCCTAATTTTTTGGAAGGCCTTCCAGGAAATGTTGAAACATCTACAAAGGATTGCCATACAATCAAATTACTCCCTTTGAATACTTTTTCTTTTCTGTGGTTCACAATATCTGCAGATTAAATGTGACATAGCAAAAGACAACCATACACATGTTCTCAAATGTTCCAGAAATTGAGCGATCTTTTTTAATAATGCCAGTGGCAAAACTGTGGACTGTTTAACAGAGGGAAGATGTTTTTACAGTGGTAAGCTGCCATTTTGTATTCTACTGATTATATACAACCATTCTACCAATTTTGTTTAGCCACAGATTTTACGATTGTAAATATCAATTTCTTCCTTTTCTGATGTAAAAACTGCAGAAATTGAATGACTCGCCAGCAGCTACACAGTACAGCACTGGCAAAGCTACTAATACAATGCAAGTCTTTTGACTCCCACCTCTGTTTTCCATGTTTTGATCTAAACTAAAAGTCTGCAGACATCTTTTTGTAGTCCTGCAAACCCTTAATACCAAATACTACTGGCTAAATGTAGTACTCCAAGACTACTAAAAGCTGTCTGGAGACTTTTATTTTAGATTATGTTTGGTCGAAATATACACTGCCTAGAAAAATACCGCATTTTAGAGATTAATGCAAAGTCACACTGATTGATGGGTATAAGCATAAACATCACAAGCATGGGCATCAACATAAACTCTGATGGGCATAAGCTTGGACTTCAAAATTTAATATGAACATCTAGTTTGGATTTTTAAGTATTTATGCTTTGTTAATCAAATCCTAAAATTAAAAGTACACTATAAAACATCTTAATATAGCTAGGTTCTTTTTGCATATTTAAAAACAATTCCTTTACAAAGCCATATACAGGGAAGTTCCAGCTTTAGTGTACTAGGAATAATACATACTAATACAAGAAAAGATTAATGCTGTGCCTCTGAGTAGCTCAGCTAAGAAATACTGATTTTAATGGAGCCCAAATTTCAGCCCTGAAGTATTTTGGGAGGGAAGGAAAAATGCTT